AAAAAAAAAAAAAAAAAAAAGTTTACTTGTTCATCTCTGTATATATTGCCATATTGCTACAAACCTTTTCTTGGAGTCGATGGATCTCTGTCATGATTTTCTCGCCCTGTGACGACCAGGAAATTAACATTAATACTCCTAAAAAGAACCTAAACACAATTTATATAATTGCTAAACAAAGAAATATTATAGACTTTTTTCTCCATCACGCGGCTTAATCCAGCTTCGAGTGCTGTCTCCAGATTTTCCAGCTCTTCTATAGTTAATCCTTGAAGCTCCTCGCCTCTCATGCGCCTATCCAGAGCAAAAAATACCGCCACATTTTGTAATAATAAAAATTAAATAATGTTACACATTGTAAAATAGCTGAAAATGATGAAGAATAGATATGTATATATACCTAAGCTGATGGCTTTTTTCTACAACTTCTTTTCTTAATCTGGCACGGTTGCAGTCCTCAACTAGCTGTACATCACAGTTTTCTTAGTAATTAAAAAATTTTGAAAAAAAAAAGATATCTCTAGTTTGAACAAAATCAACAATTGTTATTGGGAAAAAGGATCTTTTGAGTTCTATAACTTGTCATAGCTGTATAAATGGCTTAATGTAAGCTTATTTTCAATATTTGTTTTTATGTCTTTGCAATCCAATCACCAGTTTTCGACTTATGTGATTAAATATACCAATTTTTAAAACTTTACAAACTGAATCATAAATTATCTTACATTAAACATATGAACATTGTCGCCAGATTGATATGTGATTAAGTTATTACTTTCATGTTGAATCTAATGAAAAATAGATGTCAATCACTCTCAATACTTGTCTTGGGACTGAAGTGAACCCTGAGCTCATTTTATGCTTGTTCAACTCGACATTATTAAATATTGCAAAAAAAAAAGAAAAAAAAAAGAAAAAGAAAATTAATGTTTCTCAATCAACCGAATCAATTTTTTTCAAACTTGAGATTTGACATCAACCATCTGAAATGTGCGTCGTGATTTGATTTACAAAATTTATAAAGATGATGTGCTTAATTCGAAAAGTCAAAAAGACATGATTAAATTGCAAAAAAATATTAAACATGGTGCAATTAAATACGTATATACCTAAAATCAATTAGGCATGTAGAAACACTAACATGTTATTAAACTTAGGGATTTTCAAGTGTTCATGTGACAAATTTATGCAGACAAGAAACAAGAACATAATGTATGTTCAGGAAGAATCCCCTCTATTTTAAAGTGACTAATTCTATTGGCTAGATTTCTATAGAGTTGAAGAGCACTTTAGAGTCTAATCGTTTACTTAGTAATAAGGTTCAACCCCAAATTAATTGGTCCTAGGAGAACTAGGTCACTAGGTTTAGAAAACAGGTTCAGTTTCTCTATCGGGAGAATGGATGTGATCCTATAGGGTTGAAACGCGCTTAAGTGAGTGAATATAGTTGTTGAAGTTTCATCTCAAAACCAAATTGCCATTTTCTCTATTTAATTAATGTGAAACTCCTCACAAACAATATTCCAACACTATTAAACAAAATTACTCAATCCCATTATAATAATGATCTAAGTTCTATATACTGAGAGACATAATCTACTTATCATAGATATACAGTCCTAATAGTATCTCTAACATATTTTAACAATATTCAACTCATCAACCAAAGATCCTAGCAATTACTCATAATTTAGTTAAATAGAGACATAGCCCTAATCGTATCCATTTCGATTACTTTAACCATATTGGCCAAAACCCCAGTTGTATTTAATAAATAAAATAAATATATCCAATAGGTGGACCTCACATTGTTGGGATATATAGTCAACCATTTCGAAAAAAAAATGTGCAATTTCAGCTATAAACGGACTAAATGTTAAAATAATTAGAAAAGTTAAGGTTAAACAAAGAGTAGGTCTAAGTACTATAGAGCCATTTACGTTGTGGTATAAATATGAATGAACGAGAATAAACATGAATGAACGAGAATACCTGCAGCTCAAGTGATGGTTGCTCCAACTTGTCAAGGTTACTCGAGTGCAAATGGTACCTTTCCAGTATTTCCTCCACACTACATATATCAAACCAGAAAAGGGAAAGGACAACTGGTGAATTGGGGTGCATTCTATACAACATAAGGTACAAGAAGGAGGTCACCACTAAAACCAAATGCTACATGCGTGTAGTATCTTACATCCGACGCCTCCTCATCACAAACTCTTTCCCTTTTCTTTTTCTAAGAGTACTTGGGAAATATGTAATAGTAAAAAGGTAAAATGTTAGTTATTTTTGCATAACATCCCAAGCTTCATGATCTTACAATCAACCCTCTAAAAATTCCACTTTTTCCTTTTGATTCTCTTTATATAAACCAACCAAAGCTCGTTCATTCATAACCTAAGAGACCTCACATGACCCCATAGGAATATGAGTGGATAAAAAACTAGTGAGTTAAGTGTGTTGTTCAAAATAGTAATTTTAATAGCTCGTTCAACCACCGGTTGTAATCGATATTGATTTTCTGGCACTAATATCTCTTGTTATTCAACAACTATATTATACCGACTCCATACCAAAACCACTATCAAATAGCCCTTCAAAACCATTCTTCTTACTTTTACTTATCGATTGGGCTTAATCATTAGATCGCCATACTTTTTTTTTCATTAATAATATGAATCCTTTCATTAAAAAAAATATCATACTTTAAAAAACAAAGCATAAATAGAAATGTGACATTTGATAGTATAAATATATATGTTAAAAGTTAAAACCCACTATTTCTTTAAACAGCTAACATTAAAAGTTGATAAAAATAGTAATTAAAAAAGTTTTTACAACGGTCAAACTACCCAATGATGGGTCATCCAATCCGTTTTCGGTCCCAATAATAATTATTTTGGTTGATAATAATAATAAAATAAAAATGAATTGAGTGCTCTCGAGTGTTTCATCAGTAACCTGAAGCAAAATATCACAACACACACTTATTATTTTATGGAAAAATAAGTGGACAAGGGCGAGATACGTACCAATTGCGGCAAGAAAAATATAGAATAAAGCTAAAGCATCTACAGGCCAGCATAAAAATAAATAAATATATATATAAAAAAAATAATATACACTCCCCAAGAACAAAACCAGACAG